AAGTCCTCAATAAATGATAAATATTTTTAATAGTTAATATGTTGGGCAAAGATGATAAAAGATGGAGGGTGTTTCTGGGGCAGAGGTTTAAGGAATTAGATGGGAACCTGGAAAGGAAGAAATGAGGTAGAAGGCTATGAAAACAGTATTTGTTTAAAAAACATATAGACTAATTAGATGAATTTTTGTTAACTTGAACACTAGTATAGTTACTTCTAACAACAATAAATAGTCTTTTTAGAGCCTCTACATTCACTTAGCAAGGCATTTCATTTTGATCCAGTCAGTATCTATTAAAGCTTAGTGAATAAATATTTAGTAACAGAATCATTTTTTCTAAAGCTTATAATCCCCTTTCTTTCCCATTTTAATCCAAGCAAATAAATACATTTTCTAATTATACCATGCAACAATGATTTATCTGGAAGCCCTGTTATATGAAAATGCATGCCTAGCCAGATGTGTTTAGGGTGTATTTTGTTGGAGTTGGCATAAAAACTCCTCCAATCTCAAAAAATTCTAGGGTTTGTAGCAACACACTCAGAAGCATTTTTCCTGGAAGTTGCCAATCTAAGCAGCTGTGGCTGATCATAATCCACATCAAATCCATTGGGCAAATGTATTTATTTCTTCCAGGTTGACAGGTAATGGGGACAACAAAGGCACTCCGGAAACAATGACCTTTGAAAACTGCCTTTGCTAATAACAGTGTCTTGGGATGACAGCCATCAGTGCTGGCTTTGCAGCCTCTCCACCTCTGCTTGGCTGAGTCAGATGCCTTCCCTTGGCCTCAGTCAGTAGGAGGTGGCAAAATCTGGAGGCACTTGTGACCTAGTACCACCTGGGTGCCACCTACTGCTTTCTACCCGCCTTTGCTGTGGGGAAGGAGGCATCTGAGGGCAGCACTTTCATGCACTTCTGGTGGAAAACCTCTCTTCCAACAATCATTGTTTGACTCTTTGGCATCATAAATCATGAATGCATTTACATATTAAAAACAGAAGTATGTAAAATGCAGTTTCATGATTCCTAGAATAATCTTTATACTATAAATGATCAAAACATGATGAGGCAGGTAGCAAAATTTTAATGCTAATAAAAATAATAAAATTATAGATAGTGCTGATTTATTTTGCTATTATTATATGTTGAATACTGTATTAAGCACTTATAACTAATCTCATTTAGTCATTATAATGTACTGGTGAAGTAGGTGGTATTATACTCATTTTTCAAATGAAGAAAGACATGCACTGAAAGAGGTAAAGCTAAGGTCACATAGCTAGTAAATACATTAGTCATGCTTAAACCCCAGGTCTACTGACTTTGAAGTCTACATTGTATGGCAATGACTCTCATGTTAGACCCTGTACCACTAATAACATTAGTAATGAATAACCTGGAAACTCTGTACATTGGTTTAAAATGGGTTCATTAAAACTGCTTTATCTATTTCATGGGAGATTATAAGTATTAAAAGGCATAAACATTTTGAAAGTCCTTTGAAAAAAGTTAAAATCATATGTACATATTTGTAATAATATATATACATATACACATGGTGCCCTATTTATGATGGTTCAGATTAATGATTATTTGACTTTATGACGGTACAAAAGCAATACACATTCAGTAGAAACCACGCTACGGTATTCAATAAATTACATGAGATGGTCAACACTTTATTATAAAATAGGCTTTGTGTGAGATGATTTTGCCCAACTGCAGGCTAATGTAAGCATTCAGAGCATGTTTAAGGTGGGCTAGGCTAAGCTATCACATTTGATAGGTTAGGTATATTAAATGTGTATTCAGTTTATAGTATTTCCAACTTACGAACATTTATCAGGATGTAACCCCATTGTAAGTCAAGAAGTATCTGCAAATATATTCAATATAAATAAAGAATACACTTATGCTTTAAACATAAACAGCAAACAGGCACAGAATGGTATGTGGAGAAAGTATTAAACTTGCAATCTGAAGACTTGGATTTTCTCCTCAGATGTAGGATTTGGATATGTCACATCTCACCACTCACTTGGGAAATGGGGGAGATACTTACACTTAATAAACGAAGAATTTTCTCATCTAAAGATTGTACATACAGTATGTCACATGTTTGTATGTATGTATATTATTATTTATTTAATAATTATTTATTTTCTACTTGCTTATTGCTTTTGTACAATCATATACTCCAGAATTATAAATTAGAGAATCTCAGAATTTAAAAAAAATTTGCTACTTAGAAATTTACTTCTTTATCTTGCTTACCCAGTTATATAAAATGAATATATACTTTCTCATTCTAATATATTTTAACATTTGTAAATGGAATGCTAAATTACTTAGTATTTCTAGCATTGTTTAGGAAAAACAGCAGTGACAGGATCAAGAATCAGCAGACCCGACTTAAAAATTCTCTGTGTTCAGAAAATAAATGCTTACTTTATGACGCATATGCCAGCTTATTTTCTGCAGTATTGCTTCTAACAGAAAACTTTTGGAAACAATACAAATTATTAAATTGATTAAGCTTGTCATTCACTTACTGAAGTATTATGCAGCTCTAAAGAATAATCAGCTATTCTTTATTAAAAAGTGAAAAGATATACAGGATTTAAAAAAACAAGGATCAGAGTATGCATATAATATTCTATTTCTTGAGTAAAAAGCTAGGGAGGCAGTATTTATGTTTGTATTTGCTTGTGTAAGCCTAAAGAAACATCAGATGAACAAATAAGAAATTAATAAGAGTGGTTTTTATGGAGCAGAGGCTGGAAAGACCCAGAAAGTGGCAGACAAGGGTTAAAGGTAGATTCACTGTACTCCATTTTACACTTACTGCTTTTTCAGTCAGATTGCAATTTCTACTTAGAAGTTAAAAAAATTCAAATGCTTTAAAAAAAAAAAAGGTGAATGCTTTAAAGGGGTATTATTGAGAATTTAAAGTTCTGAATCAGATTGCTTAATCCAGATGTCTATTGAGGTCAGTATAGATTAAGAGGGATTGAGTTTTGATTTGTGAAAGAGGTGAATGAAGAAAGAACAGGATACAGTTTGGAGCATAATACACCCTGAGGCATCAGATGTTGAGGGGATTTCATTGATGATAGGATTTAAAATGTGAACTGTGGCATGAGCTACTGATAGCAGGGAGGCATTCAGGAGCGGAGGAGGGTTGCAAAGGAGCGGAGAAGGAGAACAAGGACAAACTCTGCCTGCCCTGCAGTTCTGCCTGGGTTCCTTGCAGCTTTACTGCACTAACAGTCAGACCTTGTCAGGCCTTCATTGTCAGAAACAGGCCTTGGTTAGCATTTGAGGAAACTCACTGAAAAGCATGATACCAGGCAATGTGTGTTACCACCATGTGCTGCCACCACCCACACAGGCGCTGGAGTGAAACAAAGATGGAGGGCATGGAAGAAGGTTCTCAGGGATTTCTGCCTAACATCAGAACTCCTGTATACCGCCTTGAACGCGCCCACTCTCATCTGATCTCAGAAGCTAAGCAGGGTTGGGCCTGGTTAGTACTTAGATGGGAGACTGCTTGGAAATACCAGGTGCTGTAGGCTTTCTAAAAGAAGGTTTTTTTAAAAAAAGAACTCCTTCCCTGGCGTGAAGTCACAGCCATAAAATGGAGGTTAGAATACTTAATTTTTTATCTGAGGTGAAGAAATAAGAGAAATAAGGAAACTTCTAGAAGGTCTTACAAAAATAACAGTTCTGAATTATGAACCAGTATTGGAACAAGATGACAGATGAAGAGGAGATGCAATGGGAAACAAGGATGAACCTTTCTGGAAGACAGATGGTCATAGGGTCATTCCAAACTTGCTTTCTGCGTGAATGAATTAGCAGACTACTTGATCACTAAGGTGTTTATGAACAAGGAGAATACTGATCTCAGGAAGATAACATATTGCAAGATGTTTCTACTGTGCAAAACAAAAAACGACCTTTAGGCTTAGAACTGCTTTAACTAGACCACACTTTTATAAGGAGAAAGACCTGATGAAGAGTAGTGTGGTTGCTTGTAGGCATCTTGTCTCCTCGCAATAAACAACAGTGGCACATCATTTACCTAAAATACTAATCATCTCAGGCATGTGCGAGCTTCTTTCATGCAGTCACTCTGTACCAGAGAATTGCAGTGACGTCTCTGGTAGAAATTTAAACTATTTACCCAGAAAGAGAGTAAAATATGCCTCTGTCTGGCTCATTTTCCCAACTATATATTAGTTTATGAATCAGAAAAGTTCAGAAACTTTATACTGAGAAATAGAAAATAGCTAAAATGTGAAACATAAAGTACCATTTCATGAGTCCTGTTCCTTTCTTATTTGAATATTGGGCTTAGGAAACATGATGAATTGTGTGGATATTTGCAGTCACTTAAAGGAGGGCCTGCCATCTCTGTACTACTGACATTATGACCTGAATAATTCTTTGTTGTGGGGCAGTCCTGGGCATTGCAGGATGTTCAACAGCATCCCTGGCTTCTACGCACTAGAGGCCAGTAGCACCCCCCAGCTGTGGCAATCAAAAACGCCTCCACACATTGCCAAATATCCCCCGGGGGTCAGAATTGCTCCCTTTGGGTACCACCAATCTAGAGGATAGCTCATTTTCTGTCTAACTCCTCTGTGGTAATAGGGGTAACATATCTCAGTCTCACTCAACAGAAATGAAACCCAACGAAGGAAGTAAACACAATGGTTATCATTAAGCAAAACCACATATCAATGAAGTGGATGCATTCCTTCTCCCTTCCTCCCACAAAACCCCAGCTGACCAAGGCATTTTCTCACAGAATGAAGACTGCCTACTTTCCCAGACCTCCCACAGGAAAGAAAAAACATGACAAAGAAAATTCATTATACACATATGAGCACCAGTTACAGAATCATCCCTTGTTACGAAACCTTCCCCAGAAGCTAAAATATTCTCTGCTGTTGAGTAAACCATACTGAATAGCAAATGAGAAAAGAACTCACTGTTTCCAGAAGAGGTTTTGTGGAATTTCGTCAGGTCAACATTTGGTGGTCTGTTGGGTTTTGGTGGAGGTGGACCCAAGGTAAATAAGGGAGGCAATGGCTTCTGCTTTGGGGTGGCTGAATTCTTGTCTCCCTTTTCCTTTTCCTGACTTTGGCCCCATGGCCCCCCGACTGTCAGCTTAGAAGGGGCCTTAGGGAGCCTGGCAGGAGGAGCCCCTGAGGCGGACTCTTCCTGATTGATTTTGCTCAGGAAGATGTTCTTAGCAGCATCTATCTTCCTATCTTCCTTTTTTTCTTCACCATTTCTGGAGAGGCCTGGGGCTCCTCTGCTCGCAGCAGGTTTCAAAACCACTCCGGGGAAGGGCGAACTTGAAATCTCCCCTGCATGGTCTTTATTTTCTGGGTCTTCCCTTGTTGGTTTTAAAGGGCCGCTTTTGGACCTGACTCCCAGGGGAGCTGGGGCCCCTTTTGATGGAGACACATTCTTTGCGGGGCTTTCGTCTTCATGGGAGTCCTCGGTGCTTAGGGGTGGCTTCTGGCCAAAGGCAGGTTTGGGGAAGAGAGGCTTGGGTTCCAGATCTGGTGATGCTGACATAAATTTCCCTTTAACCCCAGCCAATTTGGGAAACGCTTGCTTCTGTTCACTTTCCGGAGTTGGAGGAGTAGGCCCAGTTTTCGAGCCTGGTGGCTTTAGGTCATGGTCTTGGTTTACACTGTGAAGTAATGGCTTGTTCCCAGGAGGCCAGGGAAACGCAGGTTTGGAATCGTCTTTGGGCAAGTTGATAGGCTTAGGGCCTACAGGTTTCAGAAATCCCACTTTCGCCTCGGCGTCTCTGGTGGTTGGGTTGGCTGGTGTTCCAAATCTTGGGCCCGCTCCAGTGGGCTTTAGAAACGGGGGCTTGGGTTCCTTGTCAGGCTTTTCCTCAGAAGAAGGTTTGACTGCCACAGGTGGCTTTGGGGACCCAAACTTAGGTACGTTGCTGGGTCCTGCAGGAGGGCTGGCATTTCCTTGGTTGTTGAATAAGTTCTTTCTTGTTTGTATTCCTGAAGATGAGTTTGGCCCTGTGACTCTGAAGGGTCGGCTATTGACTGAGACCTCCTCTGTCGGGTTGCCCCCTGTGTTAAATTTCGCCATGAGGGACTTCACATCTGCTTTTCCATCCTACAAACATAGGGAACAAAAACTAGCTGAGAGACAGAAGTCTTACTCGCACAGTTTAAAATACTACACCTTAAAGAGCTTCCTGGTTTGAGGCTTGCAACGTTGCTGATTGGTTAGCAAGATATTGTAACATTTATCTTCCTTTCTGGTAAAATAAGTTGTGAGAGTTTCTTGAAAGGGAAGGGCTCTGCTTGTGCGTATACTTTTTCTTTTGGTCACCTCAGACTGACTTGCTTATTTTTGCTTAAGGAACAATCTTTTCTTTCTTGTCACTGTTTCTCTAGCTCTCTTGTTGGATTTACTCTAACCTGGCATTATTTACTTTAGTTTTTTTTCCTTTTTTTTTTTTGGTCAACAACCTTAAATTATTTACCTTTAAAGTTTCACTTGAAAAAATATGGAAGTGACTAAAAGAAGACTTCTTCAATATTTTATAATTGAGATTCTTAAGTAGAAACTACATTTAAAAAATGAAAGTAAGTTCTTCTGTAAATTGAGGCTGTGTGCTTTACACAGCATGGCTGTGTTTAACATATATCTCTGTGGTTTGCAAGTTTCTTTTCTTTTCTTTTTTTTTTTTTTTTTGCTTCTATCCACATTTAAGTTCTATTTCCTAACAGGGAGCGGTGGTGGAAAATCCTCACTCATTTTTATAAGTAAGTGATAAAATGGCTTTTCTACTTATTTGTAATTATATAGAACTAATGATTCACCTGTATCTATACTAGCAGGTGAAGTGTACTCACTTTCAGAATTGTTCTGTTTAGAGGCCATTGTCTGGAGGCACACGGGAAGAGAAGGAGAAGTAATAAGGATGGGCTGTCAGTCTCATTTCCAGACCTTTCTTTCCACCGTCATCCTTTTTTCTTAAAGGTCCTTCTACTGGGTCTCCCCTGCTTGTCTAGAATTAAGGTATTACTTAGCAAAGATAATAGGCATTCACCTTTCTCTGTATTTACCTGGGAAAATTAATGGTGTGTTTGCTCTTTGTCTTGAAAGCAAAGAGTTTAAAATTTCTAGTTCTTTTAGAAATATTTGAAAATTGGAGGCTTAAAAAAAATCACTGAAGTTAACCATGGGGCCATGACAACTTCCCTCTTCATGCTTTAAAATTCGTGCATAATGTGTTTTCTACTTCTCACCTGCTACCTTTCATTGCCCCATACCCAGGCACATTTCATCTTTCAAGGTGGAAAACCAGATTTCTTCTGCTGCAAAGGTTGCCTCCACCTCCTGACTCATGCGTACTTCAGGTGCTTCCACAAGCCCCTATGTTATTTCCGCTTAGAATGATGAGAACTACCATTTAGTGGGGAGTAAATACATGTGCTTAGTTTTATATTATCCCATCTCATTCTTACAGTAGTTCTAAACGAATGTTGTTATTTAACTCCATTTCACAAGAAAGGAAAGTGAGGCTGGAACTACAGGAGGATGGCATGGCCAGAGCGTGAGAACTGGGTTTAAATCCTAGTTCATCTGTGGGGCCTTAGTTGTATAATCTACATAATGGAGATAAGACATATCTGCCAGAATTGTCATGTCCCTTAGACATGGAATTTGTAAAATGCCTGTCTGGTGTACAATATGGAAATGCCTTGAATATGCTACCTAACAGTTCTAGGAACAGGGAGCACAGGCAGGGAAACTCGGGTGTGCCTGGGGCTCAGAAGCTCAGAAACTGTCTCATTTCTTTCTGTATTCCTGCATCACCTAGACCAGGGCCTGGCTCCCTCAGGTTTCTAATATATGCTTTGGGAATGAGGGCAGGCACTCAGCTGAATACTGTGCATAGTGATTTTATAAGAAATGGTGCCCTCAGCAAGAGTTTTTCTCGATACCAAACTATAGGGCGTGTGTATTTGCAGGGTGGGAGGTGAGGGGCTTAGACAGGAGCAGAAAAACTAACAAAAGCAGCAATTTCCAGCTTGAATTTTGTACATTTAATTTACCTCCCTTATCTGAGTTGTTGGAAACCCCTTGTTTTCTACCTTTCCTCCCTTTGCCACTTTTCTTTCTTTCTTTCTTTCTTTCTTTTTTTTTTTTTTTTTGAGACGGAGTCTCGCTCTTGTTGCTCGGGCTGGAGTGCAATGGCACGATCTCGGCTCACTGCAACATCCACCTCCTGGGTTCCAGTGATTCCCCTGCCTCAGCCTCCCGAGTAGCTGGGATTACAGGCATGCGCCATCACGCCTGGCTAATTTTTTTGTATTGTTAGTAGAGACGGGGTTTCTCCATGTTGGTCAGGCTGGTCTCAAACTCCCAACCTTAGGTGATCTGCCAGCCTCAGCCTCCCAAAGTGCTGGGATTACAGGTGTGAGCCACCATGCCTGGCTCCTTTGCCACTTATCTACCACCCGTGATTTTCTCCAATCCTCAAACAATCCCCGAAGGCAAGAGGCAGGAAGACAGCAGAACAAGGGAGAATTTGGGTGCTGGGGGAGGGAATAGGAAAGAATGGGTTCTTCCCTGAACTTTCAGGGAGATCAGAGTTGCAGAGGACCCCAAATGCCAGTACAAGAAACAAAATGGCAGAATTAATAACAAAAATTTGCCCCCTATCTGGAAGGAAGTCTGTGTCTCTGTGGAAGATGTCTTTTATTCTAGACTTAATTCCGTATCATATAATGTATACTGTAGGTTTAAAACAAGAGGCTGCATAGCAGTGTGACTAAGCATACAGACTTGGGAGCCAGGCAGCGTGGGTTTGAATCTTACTAGCTATTTAACCTTGGATAAAAGACATCAAAATTCTTTGGGTTTAGTTTTCTCACTTCCCTAATGGGAATAATAATGTCTAGTCATAGGGCTGTTAGGAAAATTAAACAACTTCCTATGTGTAAAGCACTTTAAAAAGTACCTGGCACACAGGAGGATTTCTGATTTTTATAAATCAAGTGAAACGTTAGACATTCTCTAGTCCCTTCTCTCGCTGCATTGGTGAGGAAATGGAAAGCAAGAGTTTTAAGTGGTATCCTGCTTATGTGACAACTTGATGTCTTGGATTTCATGGGGGAAAACCCATGAAATACCCTAACCCCCATTCAAACTCAATGTTCTGGTTTTGGTTTAGAAAATATGAAAGTGGTAGATTTGGATTGGAACATAAGTCCCTCAGCTGCCAACCCAGACCCAGGAGGCAGTGCAATGTCAAAGTGAATAGCACAGGCTCTGGGGTTAGAACTTGAGTTCAAACCTTGACTTTGCCTCTTTACTAACCACGTGATCTAGCAAGGTACTTCTCTGAGGCTCACTTTTCTTCATCTTTAAAGTGAGAATAATAACAGTACCTATAGCTCACAGCATTTTTGTTTGTTTTAAAATAAGGATTAAACGGGCAAATGCATGTAAAGTTCTTAGATAAGAATTGCATGTAATATATATCTAATAATTATCTGCCATCTCTGTGTTTCTAATTCAATAGTCACAAAACATTGTTTTTCTCTAGGTGACCACATTCTGAAGTTACAATCATTAATGTTATGTCCTAATTTTAAATTAAAGTAGCTAGAACTAACATCCTTCTGAATAACATAGTAGAGTTGTGATATTTAAGTTTGGTTTACCTACACTGTGAGACTTTTCACTGGATGTTGAAAAACAGGGAAAGAAGGAGCAACAAGTTATTATGCAGGACATCTTAGAGCCCCTTAGCCACTGATATGTGTGGCAAATCAGTAGCCTGAACTCTGCAACTATCTAATCACTAATATTGGTTTCTTAGCTTTAGAGGTTGTTTAATCATGATCTTCTTAGCTTTAGAGGTTGTTTAATACATTTAGTAGATGCGATTTCTAACACCCAGACTCACCCTTAATAGTAACAATAATAGGTAGATTTTTTTCTTTAATCATGATAGAAAAAGCAAAAATGATTTTCGAAATGGACATTCTCTCATTCTGATTTCATTGTAGATTGAATGTATTTTCAATTCTCTAGTACTTTATTTTTTTTTTTTTTACTTAAAAAAGGGTAGGGGTAATATATTCTTGGGTGATAGAGTGAAAAGGAAGCCTTCTACAACTCCTTAACTTAGTTCCCCAGTTCTAGATAGGCTGACAACCTGATTTACCAGTACAGTATGAGTTTATACCTGTTTTTCTGGAATAATGATTAGCAATGTTCCTTTTTAATCTCAGAACTGATCTTCCTTAAAGAATAAACTACATGGTGACCTTCCCTAATTCTCTTTAGAGGCAATCACTGTCACTAGTTTCCTATGTATGTTGCTAACCAATGCATATGCAAGCATAAACATACACTTATTCACATGCATACATCCTTCCTTCTCTCGCTTTTCACACAAATGGGAACATCTACTCTGCATCTTGCTTTCTCCTAGGGCTGATATTCAGTAGCTATACGTCAGGTAAGCTGGATGTATGATCAGCAACCATTTGGATTGTTTGGTACACATGCCAATTCCAGTTGTTAAATATTTTCAATATTAACCCCACTTTCTTCCCTTGCCAGTTGGACCATATTGGTGGATGTTATTTGCAGAACCTTTTTAACTCTTAACGATATCAAGATTGGGCTTCTACTTATTCATCAGAGGAGGTATTTCACAATCTGGAAGACATCAGAGTTTATGATATTTTAGTAAAACAAAAATTTCATTTGCAATTTCTTTTCCAAAGCCATTCGAAGAAATTTGTTATTATTTCCACCTGCTATGTGTCTATATAATGCTTAGTCCAGGCTACTCACAAACGTTGCTCACAAACACAGATATAATAGTAGAAAACCTCTTATAGAAATTAATTTCCGTTAGCCCCCATATATTTTGCTTTTCCTCAGAATTATATAGCTTCAATGGTATAAACTTCTACATTTGCCACAGACCTTGGGAAAATATCTGTTAATAAAAATGCTTTTGTTACATCCTCCGGATTTCCAGTTAACAAACCTAGTTTTCAGAAAATCATTTTCAGTTTTAGCAATCTACATAAAAGTAATGAACCAAGTACATAGTCAAACAAAGTCTGAGATGGAATGAAGGATAGGCATCCCATCTTTCTGTTCTAGAAAGAAAATAGTCCCCTTTGTAGGCAGTTCATTTACATAGTTTCATGCAGAAAACTAAAAATATATTATCTCTATTATTGGGAACAGGATTTTGTTTTGTTTTAGTTTTATTGTTATATTACTCATGGTTTAAAATATTTCTTGGATATTATGCTAATCCAGTGGTTCTTAACGGGGGCAATTTTCCCCCCAGGGGATGTTTGTCAATGCCTGGAAGCATTTTTGACTAAAATGACCAACCAGAGAAGGGGTTGGGGCCGTTCCACTGGCAGCTGGTGGGTAGAGACCAGGGATGCTGCACATCCTGTCCTGCAGGAGAGCCTCCCACAAGAAAGAATTATCAGCCCCAAATGCGGATAGTGCCAAGGCTGAGAAATCCTGAGCTAATTCTATTGCTCTTGAATTACTGAAATTACCTTATCAGAAAGTCTGCCTTTAATTTTTTTTTTAACCAGAGACCACACACTAAAACCTACAAATAACTGTACAGAAACTAAATGATGTAAAAAGGTCACTACCAGCAATGGTTTTTAAAGTTATCCACCTTTGAAAGTCTCATCGTTAGAATGTTCTTTAAAATACAAAAGAAATAACACTTCCATAAATCATCAGTAACTAATGAATTTAAAATGAATTTGAAGCCAGATTTTACCTCCGTAACATGTGTTTGCATCGCTTTTGCAATTAAAGCAAGAGGAGAATGAATCACTGCTGTGTCTGCTGTTACTATTCCCTGTATAAAGCCCATCAAAAAAGGGAGTAAAATGACTTCACTTGATTGCATGTAATGCTTCTAATCATGAGGGAGGCAGTAAATGAATAACAACAGTTTACCCAAATCAGTTTTTCAAAAAGTCTTTGATAAATTTTTACCGTATGTGGAGTTTCTTTGTTTTTATGTTGAGATAAAGTCATTTGTTACCTGTGACTTATTCGGTCTCAACTGCTGGTTCTTCTTATGGAACAAAATTTGTTTCTGCCACTGCATGGTTACCCATAATAGGACCCCAGTACAATGACATCAGAGGACAACAAGATGCTATGAGAGGGCTCATGAGTACAGGAGAAAAGGTTCCAGGAAGCCAGCCCTCGTCCTACATAAGGCTTCAGAGATTGTAGCCAGGGCAGGTGAAGATGGTGCGCTGGGTAGGAGGCCCATCGTCTGCAGGGGTGATGCCTTTTGTTGCTCCAACTTAGGACCTGCTCTGTCAAGACCTGACCAGAAGGCATAACAAAAAGACTGAAGAGATAGAACGTTCTCCCCTAAGCTGGAGAAACTTACCATCCTTGAAGCAGGAAGCACACTGGCAAAAATTTGTAACAGATTCAAGCAATTCAAATTTTTATAGAGCAATAGGATTCAGCATTACTGGTTTGCATTGCCTAGATTAAAGACAATAACACATATGTCCACCATGACCAAGCCCTCCACCCCTTCTCGTCATACACAACACACACAGAATGCGTACACGCGTGCACGCACGCGCACACACACACACACACACACACAGTCTCTTCTCTTTAAATAGACTTGATCTGTTCTACCCAGTAAACCTGAAAAGGGGAATGGTTTTAAGCTGAAAATAAACTTTCACAAAACTCTTTACTATTAGAAATGACATTTAAAAACTACTCCAACTTTAGAGTTAATAGTAGCTGCCTGAAAATACAGTACTTCTGATGACAGCCTTCACAAGCATGGTAGATAGCAAGTTCCACTATAGGTAATAGAACCGTAGTGATCTTTTCATCTCCATTAACACTGTTTAAATATTTAGGTTCTTAGTTTCTGGTTGTCTTTTTTTTTTTTTTGAGACGGAGCCTCCATCTACCACCCAGGCTGGAGTGCAGTGGCGCGATCTTGGCTGACTGCAACCTCCGCTTCCTGGGTTCAAACGATTCTCGTGCCTCAGCCTTCAAGCAGCTGGGACTACAGGCTCGCACTACCATGCCTGGCTAATTTTTATATTTTTAGTAGAGACAGGGTCTCACCGTGTTGGCCAGGCTGGTTTTGAACTCCGGAACTCAGGTGATCTACCCACCTCGGCCGCCCAAAGTGCTGGGATTACAGGTGTCAGCCACTTCACCTGGCCTATTTAGATGCTTAGTGAATTATATTTTACATGTGTGTTCTCTGTTTCCCCAAGGAGATGTAAAAGCAGGGACCTGGCTTTATTTTCCCTCCTCAATAGCAGTTCCCTTCCTGGCAAACAAACAAACACACCCCTGATCCTGGCACATCTCTTTCCGTAATATGCATTGAACATATTGGCTGATGGACTGAGTTTACTTAAATTTCACTTTGATTGATCATACAGATGGGAGTGGAGGAAATGATTTTCTTAGCTCCTTTGTTGACCTGCAGTCAACAATAGAATATCTATTTCATTGCAAATGGGCTGTGATGGATTCCAGTCGGCTGAGCCTCTGAGGCTGGAGAGAGCACCAGGCCCCTCTTCAACAGGATGTGGGAACTTGACTCTCGCCGCAAATTAAGTGCTTGGGGCAGGAGCCCGCTGCTGCAGGCTTTGAGTGAGGGCATGGGTAGGAGGAGCTGGTGGCGGAAGCAGCGGTGGTAGCCCTGATTGTGACAACCCCTGTATGTTTTTCTATAACTTGTGAAGGTGGAGATGGAACTGCCACAACCCCGACAGCCAGCGATGCCCTGTCTGCTATAGCCTTGACTTGTAAGGTGTCATGTGGAAGAAAACACCTGAATTAAATGGGGCCTTTCTGGGTGGTGTGTGTGCCCTGCCAGGTCCCCTCGGACTTTGGCAGAAAACCTCTGCAAATGTCACTGTGCAGTATCTCCTGGTCTGGTGTTATTCCGAGCACTGATGATCTGGGCCCTTCTCTTGTTTCTACCATGTTCTCTCCTCTAGAGTGAATTAGAGTAGAGGAAGCAAGATAGCCTAGCAAGTAGTAAAGCTTTGATGGTGATGGTCCACCTTCCAAATGCTGGTGCCTTATATTCTGTATAAGGCATGAGCATCAGTTGGATTTTTGTGTACCCCCTGTTTTTAGAACCAGGAACTTGACAGTCACCATCATTCTGCAAATTCGGACCTTCAACCTTCTCTTCCTGGTTATCCTACAAAATAACTCCTGTGCAAATAGTTTTGACTTTGCCATGGCCTCTGAGGGCTTAAACATAAATGGATAAGAAAGTTAAATACAACTTTCTAGCCAGGCATGATGGTGGGAGGATTGCTTGAGCCCAGGATTTGAATTCAGTCTGAGCAACATAGCGAGACTCTGTCTGTAATATAAATAAATACACATAAATATATATATGACTTTCTACGTGTTTCTGGGGTTTGTTTTACTATACATTTTTGAGCTCTTGATGAGGATGGAATGGCAATAGGATGTGGAGAATATAGAGTGAGATGTATGTAGATAGTATAGAATGACAAATGGTCCTAAAACCACTTATTTTTCTTATTCTATTTTATAATTTTTATGGCAAATTTAACTTACATTTGTTTAAGATAATTCACTCAGCTGCATGAACTGAAAATACCAAATTAGAAAATAGTGTTTCAGGGCTGGGCGTGGTGGCTCTTGCCTATAATCCCAGCACTTTGGAAGGCCAACGCAGGTGAATCACGAGATCAGGAATTTGAGACCAGCCTGGCCAAGATGGTGAAACCCCACCTCTTTTTTAATACAAAAAAAAAAATTAGCTAGGTGCAGTGGTGGGTGCCTGTAATCCTAGCTACTCAGGAAGCTGAGGCAGAAGAATTGCTTGAACCCGGGAGGTGGAGGTTGCAGTGAGCCGAGATTGCCCCATTGCACTCCAGCCTGGGCGACAGAGAAAGACTCCATCTCAAAAAAAAAATTTTATATATATATATATATATGTTTCAGGAGTTTACATTTTGACTAATGAACTTGTAGATGATTGAAAAATATTTTCATAGATTCTTATTAGTGGCTTACTTCGTTCTTAGGATAGTAGTTAATGTACATTTCACGATACAATATAAGTTCTTTCATTTTTTTCTGTTCCTCCAACCTCAAACAGACCTAAATTTCAACTACTATTTCTTATGGTTATTCTATTTTCATGTATCCACTAACAAAAACTTTATTTTGCTAAGGACATTTGAAGTCTGAAATAAAAATCCTTGATGCCTGGGAAAGATACTGTTTGACAAAGGAAAAATAGAAATGCTATACTTCCTTTTTTTTTGTCAGCCTTTGTGTCACTCCCAACAAATGCAAAAATACAGACACACAGAGACACATGCTCCTGGGCAGTACATTGCTTTTCTACACTTAACCTGAAGTTAGAAACTGAAAGCTTATTGTCTACATGGAGTGAAGTTGGGGGGAAGGGATGAGGCTATCTATGGGGTTTTCTAGGGACTTCCTTCCCAGCATGTGAAAAGATCTGTGTGAAAACTGCTAAGAAGAGGAAGAACTCAATGAGCTAACCAAGACAGGTGGCAGCAGCTGTGCACCGTGGGTGGCTCAGGCCTATAATCTCAGCACTTGGGGAGGCTGAGGCAGGAGGATTGCTTGAGGCCAGGAGTTTGAGGCCAGCCAACAAAGCAAGGCCTCATTTCTACAAAAGAATATGCAAATTGGCCAGGTATGCACAGTGGTGCATACCTGCGGTCCTAGCTACTTTGGAGATTGAGGTGGGAGGATTGCTCGAGCTCAGGAAGTCAAGGCTGCAGTGAGCCACGAATGCACCACTGTACTCTAGCTTGGGTGACAGCATAGCCTTGTCTCAAAAAAAAAAGAGGTAGCAGCTTCTAGTCACTGCAGATCCAGAGTTTGATTTGAGGAAAGTCAAACCTATACATTAGAAATGGAAGGCTATGGAAGATTCCACAGAGAGAAATGGATAATATTTTGAAACCTCACTCTACAGACTATGACAGTGTGAATATCATCCCTCCACTCTAACGCTCCCTGTTGTTCCCATTTCATTTCTTCTCCTTTTGAGCTTTGAAGAAAATGCAGTCAGTATTTAGTAATCGAGATTAAATAATATAAGCATCTCATACCTCTTAACTCACTTTGTCTGATAACTGCACAGTTACAAGACTCTGCCATGAGATGAGCATCTTCTCTCACCTTGGTCATCATGGCAGTCTTCACTTTGGGTTGCACTTTCTCTTGTTAAAATTATATTTTCAATTTCAAGTTTTCCATGTGTTCATTCTTCCCTTAGCACCCAGCCACTCTCTTTTCCCAGGCATGCTTCTCTTTCCAAAGCATTTCATTGCTTCAGCTGCTCTGGGCTCTCACTTGTCCATTCATTCATGAATTAATTCATTTTCTTCTGAGTGTTCTAGAGACTCCTTGCCTATGTGCTAAATCTAGCATGTGGCACTTTGCCATGATATAGATTAACATACGTGCTTTACTAAAATCACTTTTCTTGGCGAACAAATCACCTTTACACACCCGCTGCCAAAAAAACCCCTAAACTCTACGTATACTCATATAATTATAAAAAATTCTAGAGTTTAATAGTTTATACCTATGCCTAATTTCATTATTAAACTAATAATCACACGTTAAAATAAAATTTCACTTATCTCATTTAATCCTCCCAAAGCCT